CTCTAGTCTCCTTTAGGCCAGTAAATCTGGTCTTTTTTTGTGAGGCCTGTCATCTTTTTGATTTCTTAAACAGGAGCCCCTCCTTCCTTATCTAGTCTCTTTCATCAAATATTCCTGGAGTTGAAAAGACTTCGCCTCTTCTCCCTTCCAAAAGGAAAGCCCATCCTCTGCAGGCATTCCTCTGTCTCTTGCCCCTGACTCCAGAAAAGAGAAAAAGTCCTCTTATGTGTGTAAGTGGTATTTCTGGGTCTGTGGGTCCAGATTCATATAGGGTCACTATGAGTCAGAATCTACTCGATGGCACCCAACAACAACAACACCATGGGTCCAGAGAAGTCTCTGACTGGTGCCAACGGTTAATGTGTTTGGCTGCTAACAAAAGGTTGGAGGTTTGAGTCCACCCAGACACACCTCAGAAGAAAGCCCTAGTGATATACTTCTGAAAAATCAGCCACTGAAAACCGTATGGAGTATGGTGCTTCTCCAACACACATGGGGTCGCCACGAGTCAGAATTGACTCTATGGTTGGTTATGGATCCAGAAGGCTTGGATGAGATTTACTGATGACAAGAAGAGGTGCCAGATTCTGTCTCCTTAGGACTTTCCCCATCCACCTAGACTATGGCCCCAGCTCATTTTCAGAAACATAGCCCTGTTAACCATGGTAAGTGTATTCTTTTAAGGATGGGCCCCTGGCCCTGGGTGTGCCTGTAACCTTCATGAAAAAGATAATCTTCTGGAGAGAGCATTGGGCTAACAGCTAGAGAGCTGGTGTTTGAGTCCTGGCTCTGCTATTTTCCATCTGTGCTAACTTTGGTAGTGATAATTTTTGAACCTCAAGTTTCTTATCTGTAAAATGAGATAATGGTATTTACTTTGCCTATAGAGCAGGATTTTTATGAGGCTAAGTTGGGACAAAGTCTGGGAAAGAGTTTTGAGACTTGTAAACTGGTGATTTCTACCTATATCCATGCCTATATCCATGGCGGAAATTCTTAACTGGTCCCCTTTCCCTCCTCTTTCAGGCAGTAATGCAATTTTGAGGCCTAGCAGTTTTGGACTGACTATCTCCACAGAGGTCACAGTGCAGAAATACTATTTATGTTTGCTGATTTACTTTATCACCCTTCTTTATTTCTCCAACATTTGGTATCAAATCCTTGCTGAAAGGAGCCCTGGTGGCTAAGTGATTAAGTGCTTGGCTGCTAACTGAAAAGCCAGCAGTTCGAACCCACCAACCATTCCATGGGAGAAAGATGTGGCAGTCTGCTTCTGCAAAGATTACAGCCTTGGAAACCCTATGGGGCAGTTCTACTCTGTTCTATAGTGTCAGAATTGACTCAATGGCAACGAGTAATGGGTAAACATCAAGCTTGTCATGAAGAAATGTGGCCAGCACACATTTGGGACTAATTGGACCAATGTTCAACCAATGAACAGATGAGCCAGTGTAAGGTGCAAGCTGCTTTTAACGTTGTACCGTTGTGATTTCAATAGCTGCCTCAAGGTGACTGTTCCTTTCAAGTCTTCCCTTCCCTGCAGTAGTTAATTTTCACACACCAGGGCTCTGATTGAGGGATGAGGTTTGTAAATTGCAGCCCCTGGCTTTCCCTGTCAGCTTTCCACTCCAATTAGGTTCCCAGGACATGAATCTACTGATGATCCCTCTTCCAAGCTCAAGAGCCGAACCCTAATGAAGCTGGACATCTCACCTTGCAGTACTGTGGCTCTGCGCCAAGGCTGCCTCTGAAGGACGGGGCTCCTTCCCAGCTGAGAAGAACCAGGAGCCTGGTACCCATCAAATGATGGCCTCACTTGGGGACAACTGATGGATTTGCCTGAACCACTTCTTTGATTTTCTACAGGGTTACTTGCCAAAACAAAACTGCCACTGAGAAAAGAAATTGCTTAGCATTTGGAACACATTGATACATAGGTGAAACAAATTAGTTTGAATTTTCCCTACACTTTCAACACTTTGTTTCTGAATAGTAATAAAAATGTCCCTGAAGCAAATACTATTTTGAGACTAATTTCTAGAGGCTCCTAGCAGGCAAATCACTCTTTTTCTTGCTGTGATGTCCTTTTTAGTCTTGAAAAGAAAAGATTTAGAGGGGCGATGATGGCTTTTATTTTTCAAACATTGAGCAGCTGTCTTGAGGAGGAAGTCCTTGGTGCTATGGTGGCTACAGAAGGCAAAGCAGGGTGAGACAGGCAGAAGGACAAGGACGAGACTCAGTGATTCCCAGTTGGGCTGGGCAGTAGGACCACTTGTGAAGGTGTTAAAAATTACCAACATCTATACCTCTCCCTGGTTGTTGCTGTTGTTAATTGCTGTTGAGTCAGCTCCCACTCATGATGGCTTACATATAACAGAACAAAACATTGCCCAGACCTGTGCCATTTTCATGATCATTGGTATGTTTGAGTCCATTGTTGCAGTCATTGTGTCAAGCCATCTCTTTAAGGGTTTCTTGCATTTTTGCTAGCCATCTACCTTACCAAAAATAATGTCCTTTTCTAGTGATTGGTCTTTCCTGATGACATGTCCAAAGTAGGCGAGTCAAAGTTTTGTCATCTGCACTTCTGAGGAGCAGTTCAGTTGTATTCTTGTCTGGTATGTAGCCTGAGAGTCTGTTTTTTGAAAGACCTGCTCTATAGCTACTGAATCAGAACTACCATAGGAGAAATGTGGGAAACTATATTTTTAAAAAAACTACCCATAGTGATTCTGATGCAGGTAAGTTTGGGCACAGATGGACATTTTGAAAAAAATGACCAGACATTTTAAGATGTTCCATAAAGTTCTGGGGCTCCCTTTGGAATAGAGAGCACCTTATGACTCACTAGGATGACTCAAGCTGGTACTTGTACAGATGCAACAGGGAGCTTCTTGGTCAGAGGTGAGGACCTCCTCTGACTTTGAATCAACTGCTAGAAACATCCTTGTTCCCCTAAAGCTACCTGTTTGAATAAAGCCATGTTCAGGTTCATCTGCAACGTGAATGAACAACACATGGTTGGAAAGCGAGAGGTCAAAGTGTTGGTTTTGGGAGTGGAGTGGGGGCTTCTTTAACCCATGGTAGCCCCACTTGTGCTAGTCTTTATAAACCCTGATGGCCAACTATGGACTTTGCTGCCTTGGCAATTTTGTTTTACTAAATTATTTTTCCTGCCTCAAGTACTTTCCACATTCCTCTCCAAGTATCCACTTAACCATCCACCAAGATTCATCTCACATTCCATCTCCCATGAAGCCTCCTTTTGCAACCATAACCTACGTGTGTTTCTTCTTCCAGGAAAGAGACATATTTATGGACACTTACATGGGGCCTAATGGGGATACTAAGAACTAGACCAAGTCTTTGCCTTTGTATAGCTCATAGTCTTAGTGAGGGACAGAGAGTAATAAAGAAATAAGTTATTCTAAATTGGGATGTGTACTATGACAGAGGAATGCCCTGGGTTTAAAGATCGGGCAAAGGAGGGAGTGATACAGGATGGGACCAGGAAGGGCTTCTTAATAAAATAGATCTTGCACTTGGTCTTGAAAGGATTATCCAGAAAGATGTAGAAGAATGACAGAAATTTCTAGCAGGAGGGAGAACAGACCCCTGGTTCTAAGCAGGAAGAGAACACAAGTGATTTTGGGCAAAATTTAGCAATTTTAGTGACTCTGAGGTAGGAAAGACCATTGGACACTTGTATACGTCACATAATACAAGATGAGAGGACTGTGTATAGTAGAAGAAAGATCTTAGAGGGCCTTGACAATGACAAGTGTTGACTGTAACAAAATAGCATACAACTTGAGAAAATATAAACTTCTGCACTTACATCCAAAACCTCAACTGCCCATGAGTAGTGTGGAGGGACAGTGCCAAGAATAGGGATGTACTGAAAAACTGGATATATACCCAGTGTGATGATGTGGGCTACAAATCTAACTCTTGTTCTCAGAAGTCATTAAATGAGATAACATAGCAGTATCAAAACAACAACAGCAACAAAAAACCAAGCCCATTACCATCGAGTTGATTCCAACTCATAGCAACCCCATAAGACAGAGTAGAACTGCCTTATAGGGTTTCCAAGGCTGTAATTTTTACAGAGGCGGACTGCCACATCTTTCTCCTGTGGAGCTGCTGGTGGGCTCAAGTCACCGACTTTTCTGTTTAACCACTGCACCACCTGGGCTCTTTAATATAGCAATGACTGCACCTTAATATCACTTGGGAAGCTTTAAGAAAAATACAGATGTTTGGGGCCACCACATGACCAATCAAATCAAACTCATTAGTGGTAGGGCATAGGCACAGGTCTTATTAAAAATTTTCCCACACGATTCTAATGTGCTGTCATAGTGAGAATCATTGCAATAAAACTAAAGTGACTAACACAACAGTGCCTGCCCACAATAGATGTTCAAAATTGGCAGCTCTTTCGTTACTAATATGTTGGTGTCCAGAATGAAGTGAGACTGTCCTGCCCTAATCTCCGCTGGTTAGTCTGTGTGGGCTGCTTTCTGGCTTCTGGGAATGACCTCAGCAGGTGGACAGGTGAAGCTTCCTATCAATTGCTGAGAGAGATACGTTAAAATCTCCAGCTATAATTGTGGATTTATGTATTCTTCCTTTGGTTCTGACAATTTTTGCCTCATGTATTTTTAAGGATCTGTTATTAGGCTGATACACTTTTATAATTGTTATGTCTTCCTGATGAATTGTCCCTTTTATTTTTATAAAATGTCTCTCTTTATCTCTGGTAATACTCTTAGTCTATATCTGATATTAATATAGACATACCAGCCTTCTTATGCTTGGTGTCTGCATAGTTGATCTTTTGTTAACTATTTGTTATCAACCCATCTGTGCCTTTATATTTAAAGTGCATCTCTTATAGACATCATATGGTTGGATATTACTATATATATATATAGTGGTAAATAACTATATATACACATATATACTTATTGTGATATAGTGGTAATGTATATATGTATGTGTGTGTATATATACATAATTTATGTGTCATCCTTGTGTAAGGCCAAGCTAATCTTCTCTGTATCATTCCAATTTGAATATATGTGCTGCCAAATTTGTGAAGCCATCCATATTTTTTAAGAAGTCCTGATGGTGCAGTGGTGAAAGCGCTCGACTGCTAAATGAAAGGTTGGCGGTTCAAACCCAGTTCAAATCCTCCAGCCGCACCACAGGAGAAAAATGTGGCAGTCTGCTTCCCTAAAGATTTATAGCATTGGAAACCCTATGGGGCAGTTCTACTCTGTCCTATAGGATTGCTATGAGTCAGAATCAACTCAAGGGAAGTGGGTTTGGTTTTTTGGCATATTGGCATATATATATATAAAGCCAAACAAAACCCGTTGCTGTTAAGTTGATTCCGACTCATAGGGACCCTATACAACAGAGTAGAATGGCCATAGGGTTACCAAGGAGTGGCTGGTGGATTTGAGCTGCCGACCTTTTGGTTAGCAGCTGAATGCTTAACCACTGGACCACCAGGGCTCCATGTACATACATATATATATATATATTTATTGTGATATATGTATAAAACAAAACATTTACCATTTCAACATTTTTTACATGTACAGTTCCATGACATTAATTGCATTCATCATGTTTGCAACCATCACCACTGTTTTCAATTTTTTTCATTACCCTTAACTTTTTAACATTTCTGACAATCTCTGCCTTTTAAAGGAAGTGTTTAGTCCATTTAAATTTAATGTAATTATTAATATAGTTGGATTTACATATACCATTTGACTACTTGTTTTATGTTTATCTTATTTACCTTTGTTTCTCTGTTCCTCCCTTCTTGCATTCTTTTGGGTTAACAGAATATTTTTTAGGATTCCATTTTAGTTTATTTCATTGGCTTTTTAGTTATATCTCTTCACAGTATATTTTAGTGGTTGCTCTATGGCAGCGATTCTCAATCAGTGGCGATTTTGTGCCTGCCCCATAGGGGAATTTGGCTATGTTTGGAGACACTTTTGGGTGTCACAACTGGTGAGTGTTAATGGCATCTAGTCGGTAGAGGCCGGGGATGCTGCTGAACATCATGGGGCCCTGGTGGTGCAGTGGTTAAGCATACAATGCACAAGAAAGCCCCTCACAACAAAGAATTTTCTGGTCCAAAATGTCAATAGTGATGATGTAGAGAAATCCTGGTGTATGGATTACAATATAAATCTTAAAATCTTTACAAACTAATTACAGTTACTATTTAAAAACTCCATGTAAAGAATCTTGAAACTAGAGGTACATTTGCCACTGCCCCCCTTTCTATAGTCTATATATGTTATGCTATACAATGTTATATTTTTTGCTTTACAGGGTCATATGTATTTTAAAGAAATTAAAAGAAAAAATTCTTTTATAAATTATTATCAATGTATTTACCACTTATATTCTTTTATAATCAACATATTCACTTCTGGTGCTCTTCATTCCTTTCTAAAGATACAGGTTTTTATCTGGTATCATTTTCCTTTAGCCTGAAGGACTTCTAAGTATTTCTTTTTGTGCAGATTTTCAGGTGATGGATAAGCTCAGTTTTTGTTTATCTAAAAAGTGTGTTTATTTGGCTTATGTTCTTGAAGGCTATTTTTGCTGTGCATAGAATTATGAGTCGACAGTTTTTTGTTTTTGTTTTTTCCTTTCAGCTCTTTAAAGATGGTGCACCACGGTCTTCTGGTCTCCATTGTTTCCCAAGAGAAATCAGCATTCATTCATATTTTGTTCTCCTGTATATGATGTGCCTTGGTTCTCTGGCTGCTTTCAAAATGTTCTCTTTATCTTTGATCCTCAGTAGTTTTAATATGATGTGCCTAAATGTGATTTGCTTTGTATTTATTCTTAATGAGGCTTGCTGAGCTGCTTGTATCTGTAAATTTATGTCTTTGACCAAATGGGGGAAATTTTTAGCAATTACTTCTTTTAAAATTGTTTTTGTCCCTTTTCTTTCTGGAACTACGATTTTGAGTATTATATTTTGATTTTGTCACATATATCTGTGAGGATCTTTTCATTGTTTTATCGCTTTTTTCCCATTCTCCATATTAGATAATTCTAATTAATTTATCAACAAGTTTGCTGACACCTTTTTTTTCTGTCATCTCCAATATACTGTTAGGTTCACCTGGTAGATTTTTTTTAACAGTTTTATTGAGGTATAATTGAAATACAGTTAATTAAATATATTTAAAGTATATAATTTGGCAAGTTTTACATCCACATACACCCATGAAATCATCACCACAACAACCTGAAATGCTTCCTCATGCCGCTTTTCAGTCCCTCCCCTTTGTCCCTCCCTACTCTCTTTCATCCTCCAAGCAACCACTAATCAGATTTATGTCACTACATATTAGTTGGCATTTTCTAGAATTTTATATAAATAAAATCTTTTGCTATCTGCATCTTTCAACCAGTGTTATTATTCTGAGATTCAACCATGTTGTTGGATGTTTCAAAACTCCATTTATTTTCATTGCAAGTATTCTATTGCAAGAATATTCCAGTATTTTTTTTATGCATTCAGTAAATGTTGATGAACATTTGGGTTGTTTTTAGTTTTTGACCATTCCAAATGAAATTGCTATGAACATACATGCAAAAGCCTTCGAATGGACACATGCTTTCATTTCTCATGGATTAATATCTGAAAGTGGAAAGACTGAGTCATACAGCAGGTGTATGTTTAACTTTGTAAGAAATAATGGAACTGATTTCCAAAGTAATTGTATCCTTTTACAACCATCATTTGTGTATGAGTTCCAGTTGCTCTACATTCTCAGCAACATTTGATGTGATATGGTGAATATTGTTAATTTCAGTCATTCTAGTGGGTGTGTAGTGAGAGCTCATTGTGGTTTGAAGTTGCCTTTCTCTAATGGCTAATCATGTTGAGCATCTTTTCATGTGGTTATTTGCCATCCATATATCTTCTTTGTTGAATCATTTGCTCAATCTTTGCCATTTTTCATTGGCTTGTTTGATTTCTTATTAGTGGGTTTTAAGAGTTCTTTATATACTCTGATACAAGTACTTGATCAAATATGCATATTGTGAATATTTTCTCATAATCTGTGACTTCTCTTTACATTATCTTAACGGTGTCTTTTGAAATGCAAAATTTTCAATTTCAATGAAGTCCAGTTTATTAAAATTTCCTTTAAGGATTCTTAATATGGTGTCATATCTAAGATATCTTTGCCTTACCTAAGGTAAAAAAGATGTCCTTTTATGGTTTTCTCTAGGAATATTTGAATTTTAGATTTAGGTCTATGATAAATGTTGAGTTAATTTTTTGTGTATGAACATATTAATATATATATGAATTTCATATTTCAGTCCCTACGATGTATTGATTGAAATTTGTTTACTTTGTATATGGATATACAATTGTTCCAGCACAATTTATTGAACTATTATCTTTTCTCCACTAAATTGCCTTTGAAATTTTGTCAAAAATCAAATGACAATATACGTGTGAGTCTATTTACGGACGATCTCATGCTGATCTCATGGGTGCAGAGCAGAACTGCTCCATAGGGTTTTTAAGGCTGTGACTTTCTGGAAGCCAATCTCCAGGCCTTTCTTCTGAGGTGTCTCTGGATGGATTTGAACCACCAACCTTTTAGCTAGTTATTGAGCACTTAACCGTTTGCTCTACCTAAGGACTCAACAACAATTCTGTTCCATGTGTCTATTTATCTGTCTTGATGCCAATACTATGCTGTCTTGGTTATTGCAGTCTTATAATAAATCTTTTAGTCAGGGAGTGTAAATCCTTCAACTTTGTTCTTCTTTTTCAAAGTGATTTTGGTATTCTATGTCCTTTATATTTCATTATGAATTTTGGAATAAGCTTATCAATTTCTACAAAAAAGCCTGCTTCAAGTTTGATTGAGATTGTGTTATGTTTATAGATCCATTTGAAGTGAATTGACCTCTTAAAATGTTGAATCTGCCCACCCATGAAACAGTGCGTCTCTCTATTTCGGCCCTCATTGATTTTCTCTCAGCAATGTTTTGTGGTTTTCAGTGTACAGGCATTGCATATGTTTTGTCAGACTTACCCCTAAGTGTGTTATACTTTTAGTTGTTATCGTAAAAGATATTTTTGTAAAACATTTAATTTCTAATTGTTTCTTGCTAGTATATAGGAAATATAGCTGATTTTTTTATATTGAGCTTATATTCTGCAGAATTTCTAAACTGATTTATTAGTTTTAAAAGCTTTTTGAACACTAGATAGGATTTTCTACATAGATCATCATATTATCTCCATTTGGTGACTATTTTATTTCAATAAATTTAGTTTTCATTTGGTTGTTTTTCATTGTTCCTGTGTCTTTGCTGAGATTTTCTATGTTTTTATTTATTTGGTAAATATTTTCCTTTATATCCTTGAGCTGATTTAAAATCCTTTTCTTCTAATGCCAAAATCTGGTTAACTCCAGGTCAGCTCCATTTTGCTGCTTTTTAATATGTCTAATTATTCTGGATTATACCCAGGACATTCTAAATGATCCACTGTAGACACTCTGGATTATTCTATTATGTTCCTTTGGGAAAAAAAAAAATTAAAACAGTAAGTTTAACTTGGCCGGATTAAAACTCTAAACTCTGTCTCCACTATGGTAGGAAGTCGCAGCAGAAATCTCTGCTCAGTTCTTTTAGCCTTACCTGGGCTTCTTTGTGTCTGTCCCATTCATGGGTAGTTCAGGTGGCAACTAGAGATTTGGTCAGAATTTATAAGCAGAATATAAAATTTATAAATTGGCTCACTCTCTTTTGGGTTATTCCCCCTCCCTTTTCAGCTGTGAGTACCCTGAAATCTATCTTCTGGTCCTTCAAGCCAGTAAGACTGAAATTTCTACCAAGTTTTAGCTGCTCCTCTCATTGCTGACTACAGCTTGCCATCAAGTAAAAAATGTAAACATGGGAATTAACACAATATCATTGCCTTCTTTCAACTGTAATCTCCTTTCAAATTTCTTCTTGCTTTTGATTGCTCTCCAGCACCTTCATGCAATTCTTTTAAAAATATATTTTTCCAGAGTTTATAGTTGTTA